AGCGATGCCGACTGAGTGGGTGGTAAATTTACGCGAACAAGAAGTAGATGAGTTTCGGATAAAAATTAAATTAAATTCGAGCTTATGTGGCAGCAAGAAAAAATATAATCGGCCATACTGACCTTTCTGAGATAAATAATAGACTGTTGGAAAATTGTACTCTTAACATGGTCAGCATGCTCACACACGGAGGGACGAAAAATGCATCTTCTCCATACATTACTTACACGGAAACAAGAAGTATTTCACCCGACTAGACAGTTGTAAGAATTTCGAGAAAAAAACTGTTTAAGAAAAATTAAATTGCGCCCAAAATATGATTACCACAGAATTCACGTCCGATAATTTCAGAGTAGAAACAAATGGTGAAGAATAAAAAAATGAAGAGCTTTTCTCCAAATGCATTAATGAGTCCAGTACCACTGAGTAAGGTGCTGGCAGACGGAAAAGAGAAAGGCACCCTTTTTACTGAACGACTTGACACTAGTTTGTTGCAGAATGGCTGAAATCTAGTCCGGTAGAAGACCGAAATGGCTGCAAGCGAATTCGATCTCGAAATGCGGAGGCAGTGTTGTTTCTGTGCAGGAACGTCTACTCGAAGTCTAACAGTCCACAGGCCACAATGCGGACAACCTCCATGTACAATCTCGGTCAACTTTTTACCTGTCAGTACCCGCAATACCAGCAGTTACACTTCGGTGGCATTACTATCCAGGACACAAGTTCAGCCTTAGGTGGCAGCAGTGGACATGGCCAGTCCACCTCACATACGTCATAACGGCTCTTGACTGAGGTCGGCTGAGGACAGCAAGAAAGCTGCCGGCAGAGCGGCCAGAATGTAGACGGTGCCTGCTGGCGGGTTACCGGGTGGGTGCACTTAGCAAAGCTAATCTAACAAACAGACGTTTTGCAACGTGATGAAACCCGCACTACCGGTTACGATGGGATACAAGCTGACGGACAATGGGACGGGGCACGAGCAGGAAAGATTTCGTGCGCAATAAATAGGTTAAATCTTAGCGCATGGTGAACCACTCGGCAGGTCTAATTGTAGAGTAGGATGGGCGAGAGAAATGTCCACTTTAGGTTCGATTCCTTTTAGAAAAAAGAACAAATTATAGATCCCAGGAGATAAACAAAACCGAAGACGTTTTTATTTCCCATTAAGAGGCAAAAACATCATTAGAATTCAGCAAAACGGTCGAGTTTCTGTACAGCATGACACCCACATTTTAAGGAGACCCATAAAAGTAAGTAAACTGCAGATTTAAAAGCAGTGATAAGAAAAATATTACAGCGAAGAAACTTAATAAAAACAAATACCATTAGACGATAGTGCATAAGTAACCAACTCTGGAGACCGCACTAACCATTGGGATGACAATACACAGGCCCTTTAAATGAACAAATTAACGAACAAATTTCGATATTTGTGTAAATTTTGAGCGTTGTGAACTCACGTCTACCCTACTCTATTTCACCAAAATATCGTGGCAATACAGACATTTCCTCAATTGTACGGCAGACTTTCTTAATATTTATTAAGCAGTAAAACATATCAAGATGTTTCCAGCCACCCGTTGGCCGATTTTTTCTAGTTAGTACTAGCCAAAGTTTTGGTTATTATGAGCGACGCAAAGATCAACAGGAACGTAGTTAAAAAAAACTTTTCAGAAAATAAGTAAAATATTGTATTTTACTTTTCTGAATTTTTAATATTCCAAACCGTCGGTTCAGAAAGTATTCTTGTTCTCGGGAAAATACCAAAATATCTAAGTGAAGAACAGTGCCTTCCTGAAGTAACTTTAATTCCCTCTCATAACATATATCAAAAGCTCAAATAATTGAAGGAATTTGTCAAATTAAAACTTCGATACTATTTTCAGAAGGGACGGAAATAATTATCTAATTTTGCCTCATGGGCAAACTTGATAGGAAGCATTTGGGAAACGTGGTTACACCAAAAGCTCAATTTTCCGAATTAACAAAGACGTGGAATGAGAGCTGGTCCATTTTTTATTGTGCACAAAGATAGGCATAAAGTTTTAAACAGAAGACACCTGAGCTCATAAAGCAACTGCAAGCTCGTTTCCGAATCGGTCAAATTGTCAGTCGTAATACAGTTTGTCAGATAAGTTTACTGCTCCAAAAAAACATGGCCCACATCTTCTGACTTAAACGCGTAGACGAATGATTCTCCAGCATATGTGGTGATAATGCGAAGCTGTCGAAATAGAAATTAGTTTCAACGCCAGCTGGGACTAAAATAAATTTCTGAGCGGTCCAGAATGCTGGTTTGAGACAAAAAGTACATACCGACTGGAATTTATATATATATATAAATTCAATTTTCCTGCAGTAAAAAAGACTTCGTTATCAGCCTTAAGCACACAAAATATATAACACTGAAACCGTCATGCCCTAATACGTCACGCAAAAAGGCTGAAGTAGCCTGGAAAGACCAACATCCGTCCAAAAAGTGAATCGCATTTAAAAATTTTCATTTAATGTCAAACTACCTTAGCATGTTTATGACAAGAAAAAATAAAGCCAAGACGAGAACACATTTAATCACTTATTGAAGCCAGCCACTTGTTAAAACACAATAGCAAAGACTGGAAATATTTTCAAAGATTTAAGGAAAGGTGGGGGAAACAACAACGCATAATAATCTACGAAATTTTCTAGGTTCAGATTACGGGGCGGTAGAATAGGTTTGCAGATGAGGAATGAAGTACAGCCTATAGAAGGCAACCAAGGATATTTTTAGTGCGGTGCACATTCACAAATGGCTGATGTCTTTATATGACGGAGATTAGTACCGGCCGGAGTGCCATTTGCGCCTATGAGGTAGAATCCATAGTGTAAAGAAACACATGTCAGAATAATTATCCCGATTTCGTACACTACGACATGGGGAAAGATAACAACGCGCTAACAAAATATCGCTTCATTAATGGTGAGCATATTTCTAACTAACACGGCTGAAGAAGTTAAAAGACCAGTAATGACATGACCCGTCGACAGTGACAATGGTCGCTGCCCTCTCTGATGGTACCTAACTAGGGACTTTGTTCACAGCGAAGCAAAACTTCGTAACAGGTATCTCATTCTCTCATACAAAAACCACCATGTTTAACCGGTAGATAGGGCCAGGCTAATTACTTAGGCGAGGGCTCTCGGATCTCTAATAATAGTTCCGTAAAGGCAACATAAAGAACTTTTTTATTATGAGATTTTATGGGAAAGGACTGAGAAAAAAGGTTGAGTCATACTTTGGACTAAGAACTCAAGAGGTGTCATCGGAAGGTCGGTGACTTTTCTGGCTTGTCGAGGACTGCTTCCGAAACACTTGTTTTTTTCGTTAATATGATGCTATAGTTTACTCAAGTCAAAATAGTTGAAATGTTTTAGTCTGCGGCAAAAAACAACCCAGAAGTGAGCATCAGCACTAAGAATATAAATCTGGTATGAAACATAATTTTCGGGAACCCTTGGAACCAAAAACACCGCTTGTAAGTAGTGAGACTCCACATTTAAGACGGTCATACTTTGAAGCGAAAACTCCAAAACGAGACTTATTTACTCCGACCTGTAGCTCTCTCTAAAAATCTAAAGTTAAAATTAGCGGCCAAAATGAGATTCATAAAATGGAGTGAATTTCGGGTTAAAGCATCTAGCTGCGCTTCCACCGTCCTATCAGTAATTTTGATCGACTTGGTTCAATTAATCGTACCTAGCTCCGTTCGCATATGACCACGACAGTAAAATCATATGGACACCGAAATTTTATTCCCCTGGAAATTAAGGAATCTGACGGTCGTGTGTTGGGTCCTATTCGGTTTTGCAGATCTTAATATAATTTAAATTTGACGATTGCTAACGCGCAAATGCGATCAAAATACTGCAAGTTAATAAACAAGGGTAGGCTTACACTCAGGTAATTCATGCGTCAAGTGGAAAATTAGTCTTTTAATTATTTTAACTGGTAAAGATGTATATATTAAATTTACACAGTTATTTATAGATTGCCTAATGATCGCTCAACATATCCAATCCTGGAACACGGGCAAAAATAGGGTGCTTTGGTATGCCCGCGCTTGCAAACACAAATCGGATTAAAGATTATCTGGAAATTCCAAGGGATATAACGGAACCGAGAAAGGACTTCCAAAGGTTCCCACAGCAGGTGTATGCCCTCTCAGACCCTCATGGGCGCAAAACATACGGACGGGTATTTGAAGAGCAAGTGAGTAAACGAATGAAAAGCTAACAAAATTCGTGCCCAAATAGAAGACGTCTTGTGTGCGAAAATTAAACTCTTTGTAGGACTTCCCAAAGGGCTGTTGTCTTAGCGGTTCGCCATTTCTCTATAGCAATCACTTAATTTAAATTTGTTGTAAATTGAAATGAAAAGGACAAAAATACTTAAATTTAAAGTATTTCATGATACTCACCATCATGGGTAGCTATATGGCGTTTTAGGTGCGTTTTTCGGTGAAAAACTAGACTGCATCCATCGACTGGACAGGAATACTGCTTTGGTTGCATGTGGTGAAATTCGTCGCGGTGATTCTTCAGGTACTTTGGTGTCCTGAACGCTCTATCGCAGCCCTCTACATCACAGACATATGGCTTTCTTGGGTTATGGATATCCATATGATATTTCAGTCGCAATTTGGTTTTGAAAGATCGCCCACAATCCTCACACCGGTAGCTATTAATAAAGTTATGTGTTTGCTCGTGAGTCTTCAGAAGAAATTCGTTTGCAAAATTAAGATTGCATAAATCGCATCTAAATTTGCAATCTCCGACCTCAAAATGTGTCGATTCAATGTGTTTCAGCAAATTTTTCCCATATTGGGTTGAATACGGGCAATGCTGACATTGATGCCTTTTGACGATTTGACTTGCATGTTTTTTCATGTGGCTGCGCAACGAAGACCGGTTAGTATAAACTGCGCTACATAAATCACACTCGTAATCATCGGCGTCACCCGCAGCCGAATTCTCGCAATTTGAATTTAGCGAGGGGTTCTCGAATTCTGATTCCGCAAAAGGAGGTGGAGCATTGAACAAATGGGACTTCGATTTTCCATTGTAGGCTGAATCTATAGATCCACCGATAGAAAGAATGCTGTAGGAAGATGAAAAGGCGGGATTCTTTGCTGGTGAAGATGGAACCTTAATGGAGGGTCCATTGCACGAAACTGATGGTGCGGACGGCGAGTGCATTGTATTTGCATCACCTTGCCTTGAAATGGGCAGACAGTTTTCAGACATGGGAGTTGATATACAGTCAGTGACTAAATTTTCAGTTGCAGTGACAGCCGTGGCTACAGTAGGAAAATCGAGATACCGAATGGAAGGGTTACCTGGTTCTGTACACGAGAGACCGGCATTATATCTAAAGGAAGATGCGTATTTATCCAGATGGCGAAGTCTTTCTTTCAGAACAGGATTATTTGCTATCTCGCGCTCATCTTCGCTCGTATCTTCCTCTTCCTCTTCTTCATCTTCTTCTGACGAAGACTCCGAATCACTTCCACAATTCATTTCTTTCTCAGATGAGCGACCAGCCAGTAAGTCGACTTTAAATCCTACACCGTCTACATCTGTGGATATAACCTTCGATTCGTCGACTCCAAAATTATCAGAATTTGAAAGCTGTAGGGAGGTCGACATGTGCTCGCAGACGAGAAAAGTAAAATGGATAATTTAAATGTTTTTTAAAGGAACTCTCTTGGTGAAGACAATTCATTTATTCGCCAAAACATAAGATG